AAGAAGCCAATTTTTATTGAGATTTAGTTATGAAAGGAATTTAATTCCAAAAGAATTAGCAAATATTTTATTTAAATTTCTTTTATCATCATCTGAAGATGGTAATTCTTACTTCTATTTTCGACTTGGGCAATGTTATGAATATGGCGAAGGGGTAGATAAAGATGATAGTAAAGCATTTAATTGGTATTTAAGAGCCGCAGAGTCTGAACATAATAAAGCTCAATTTATCCTTGGAAAATTCTATCAACATGGAATAGGTGTTTTTAAAAAATCTTAACTTAGCATTAAAGTGGTATCAAAAGGCTAGGGAAAACGGACACGATCGAGCTTCCGAAATGGTCGAATCTTTCAATTTTGAAGAGATTTATTCTCAATTGTAATTATTTTTGCTAAATATTTTTTAAACTTGAAACAGCAAAGCTCAATTATGCTTTATAAATAATTCATTTATCAATTTGACATTATTGAATCCTACAGAAATAATTTATTTACAGGTATTATTTTTAAAGTTCATATATTTTCCAATCACCAATAGTATTTTTTAATTAATATTATTTTTTATTTTAAAATTTTATTTTTTAACTTCTTCATCAATGACTGGTAAAATATTTTAGAATTTTCATAAAACTAAATTCCGCAAATTTGCTTTTTTCCAGAAACCATAATTATATAAGTAATGGTTAGTTTCAATTTAACATTTTCAATTATTTTTTATTTAAATGTATTCTCATATTTAACAATTTTTTTCTATAAGTTTATCAATCATCACCGATCGCAATTGTGCAGTTGGTCATAATTATTTTCAATAATGTGATTATATAGCGATAGAGTTTCGATTGGTGTGTGGCTGTAATACACTAGAAATTCAAAATTCAAATAATTTTGGAGTATATTAAGATTTACTATACTTTTTATAACGAATTGCTTTTGCAAAATTCAAACTTTTGTTATCCAAGCAAAAGTTGATAAAGAATTTTGCAATGGGTTACAAAATATGCATTTTAGATATCAAATACTAAAGTCGATAAACATATACATGTAGTGTCTCAGTTCTATATTGAAATTATTGTTTTTATATTATAAATAAAAATATCACTTGAAAACCTTCCTAACAGAATTTGATCTATATGGTGCAATACATCAGCGACGACTCGGAAATTAATATTACTTACAGTAAAGACAAACGATTATGTTAATAACAAATGATTGTCATGTGAATTTTTTGATGGATTTAACATCGTCGATTGTTGGCGAATGGTAATGTTTAAATAACCCAAGAAAGTATTTCCGTAGAGGACCTTATTTCGTGTTTCTTTATTATTTTTAGAGTATGTTGCTTTCTTATCTGCTTTTGTCGGTGTTGCAATTCTCTTGATTTTTGATTCAGTGTTTGATTTATTATCGCTATTCTTGATGATAATTTTATTTCTTTGAAAAGGATATAGTACGTAACATCTAAAGTCATCAAACATTTGTATTTTATAAATGTATAAATTTCTTTACTAAAAAAAATAAATACAAAATTTAATCCGTGATTATGCTCAGAAAGGGCCTATTCTACCATATTCACGGATTAAATTACAAATGTTTAATGACTTTAGATGTTACGCACCATAACGATAAAATAATTACGTAGTTATGTGTTTGGAAAATTTTAGGGTGCTTACCACTAATTGACTGATTATTTACCAATTGGTTCGACTATGTAAAAATTACTGGTATGGTGCATAACATCTAAAATCATCAAACGTTTGTGTTTTATAAAATGTATAAACATCTTTACTAAGAAGTAAATACAAAATTTAATCCGTGAATATTCTCAGAAAGAGCCTATTCTATCATATTCACGGATTAAATTTTGCATTTACTTCTTTGTAAAGAAGTTTATACATTTTGTAAATACAAACGTTTGATGACTTTAGATGTTATGCACCATACAATTCGATTTAACGTGCTTTGCTATCGATTAACCAATTACGATTACATGTATTTGGTTGATCAGCCGATCTCAAGTAAATACATGTATCTTATCGCTGAGATTTATCTCTAAATTTTTAATTTCATTGTATACTAATTTTTCTCTGTCGTCCTATGAATTATGTCTAATCCCATAATGATTTATCTTTTAATATTTCTTCACCGTTGTTTGAAAATTATATATTTTGCCATTTTTGACTTACGGATTTGTTCTCAACTTACACCTGCGTTTAACACTGCCAATAATATATATACATATGTACTAATATTGTACATATTATAAATAAGTTAATAATAAATAAAAATATCTACAATATAAAATCAATACCCTTAATAAAATAAACTAAAATATGTAGCTAACTATCAAGAGATAAATAAAAGCAACCTAAAAACTTCCGCAAAAATAATAAATACAGAACAACATAACAGAATTTCAGATGCATTCAACTCCTTTGCAGCAATGTTTGCTAGTGTATTAATGGATGCACTGTTACTTTTATCACGATCATCACTAAGATCATCAACTTTAGTCTTTGCAAAATTCGAAGAAGGTTCTTTCTCCAAGATATCCTGTATAAACTCTGGTCTCGGTTTCGGATTATAAACTCCAGACTGACAATAAAATTTCTTTTCATCCACAATGTTACCTTCTCGTAACGCGTTCAAACTATTGCAATCAAAATCGGCAGATCTTGATTGACTATTGAATCCACCATCAACGTTTTTCAGCAACGGAAAAGATACGATTGAGTAATTGCCAGTAATGTCAATTATCTTATGAACGCGTTCAAGATTTTGAAAACCATCGATTTTGGTGATATGTGGATTTTCGGTTATTACTAAGGAACCAAGTTCGTTGAGCTTTGGCAATGAGATTGATCTAAGTTGGTTATTTGACGCAATATTTAAAGTGCCACCAATCGTTTCGAGATTTGGAATTGAAAGCGATTCGAAATTGTTGTGTTCTAGTTTCATATTCGAGCTGACTTTGGTTAAATGCGCAAAATCCATGGATGCTGTATTTCGGATTGTCGCTTGTCCGATTTCAACCAAATTTTGAGCCTGAAGACATGTACAAGCTATCAGTCTTTTTTTTTTGAAATGTTAAATATGAAGAAAGAAGAAATATTACCAAAAATAGAAAAGTTTTTGCTCGATTTCCAGAAACATTAACCGCGTTAACTTTTCTCAATGCCGGAAAATTCGCTTGTCTCAAATTTGCATTGTTCTCCAGCGTCAAACTCTTAATCGCGATTTCATCAACCCCATCCAGATTTCTGATTCCGGTATTTGTCACTTCAATATTATTGACATGAGTCAAGCGAGCCGGAAAGAATAACGAACCCAATAACGGTGAATTATTCAGATTAAATGATGAAGCGGCGATTAGCGATGGAAATTGCACCGATTGTAAATCGTGGTTATTGTTCACGACGATATTCGTGGCGTTTTTCAAGTATGGGCATGAAATGTTAGTGAGAACGGGATTGCTTTGAATTTCGATATTTCCACGAAGATTTTGAATGTATGGGATGGTGAGTGATTGAAGGTTTGTACTAGAGATAGATATCGTCCCGGTAAATGTTGAACAATCGCGTAGATTTTCAAGGTCGGCTTGTGTTTGGACTTGTAAGAAACCGTTACATCCGGTAAATTGAGCTATAAAAGAAACAAAGTTTGTTTAATTTTTATTAGAAGCAAATTCCAGATAATAAACATGATTTTACCGTGCTGATGATCTGAAATAAAAAATCAAAAGATATTTTATTAATTGAAAAATGTTGTGATTATTCATGATTTGGAAATATTGATATTGGAAATTCGTAATTGAAAGTTTTTGTTGAAGATGTTTATGTATCTTTTTTGAATATGCATGTTTGTTATATATACAATTGCAAACGGTCTAATTAATCAAATAGAAAATTATATCGATATATTGTTGCTATTGGTGAATTGATAAAGTAGATAGATACAAAGTTTTACATAAAAATAAAAATAAATTTAAATTCGAATTTTAACAATAAACATTCGTATTACAAATAACGAAGACAATGAAAAATTTGGAAGCAGGAATTAGGGCGATGCGATTTTTATTTTTATTCGCGTATTTTATATTTGATACTCAAGGTAAATTCACTTTACATTAATTACTTGTACACTCTGAGTAAACTTGTACCTTATTGATATATTATGAAATAGCAAAATCAAATAGTTGCAAAGGTGACATCAAAATAAACACTCAACACGATCTAGACGTACTAGAAAATTGCCGCTTTTATTCAGGCACCATCGATATTTCCGAGACAAACCTTACCAGTGTCATAATCCCACACATCAAATCACTCCACGGGTCACTCAACATAAAAGACAACACAAGACTCGTCGAAATTTCCTCGTTCACTCTAAAAAGTGCAACCGATTTCATTTCCGAAGGAAATTTGAATTTGATTACGATCAATTTGCCTAAATTACGAACAACTACAAAGTCATTTAAAGTAGAAAATGCGCCGTTTTTGAAAACTCTATTTTTTCCTCATGGTTTGGTTGAAGTAGGAAATTTTCATGTTGATAGAACAGGAATCAATGAAATTATTGGACTTGATGCCGTCGCACTCAATACATTGGAATTATTGAATAATGTTAGTTTGGATCGTGTATCGTTACCTAAATTACACTCCGCTAATTTTATCAAAATCTATAGAAATGGGGAATCCAATTTCAAATTTGAGGTAATAGTCTTAGAAAAAGTCAATATCTTTTTAATTTCTGTTATTGTAATGCAACAATATTACAGGCACATAATTTAGCAGCTCTCGGCGAAACCCTATTTCAAAATATCGACACACTTTCTCTTCCGCTTCTTCAAAGAGCTTCATCATCTTTAACATTTACCGAGAATACAATTACAAATCTATCAATTCCCAATCTGAGCCAAATTTTATCATCACTCACAATCACATTAAACCCACAACTCGAATCAATCTCATTCTCATCACTCAATCATATTGGTGGAAACCTTACAATCGAGAAGAATCCTCGTCTTCGGGTACTCGATCAACTAAACAAGCTTGGAAAAGTTGATAGAAAAATACAACTTACTGGAAATTTTTCGAAAATTCATTTTAAATCGTTAAAGGAATTCCTGGATGGACTCTTTATTCAAACAAGTACAACAGAAATCACTTGCGCTGATTTTTACCATTTACGTGGAGGTGGTGTAATTGTTATCAATAGCGTAAAATGTAAGTTTGAAGTTGAATCACCAGATGAGCATGAGCATGGATATTCAATTATTGAAAATGATAATTTGTGGTCTCCTTTTGCTAGAATTTCGAATACAGAAATAAGTCCGAGCGTCTATCTTAATTTTATGGGAATGTACAAATCAAGTAGAAAGTTAAAGCTTGATAAAGATATTCATCTAGAATAGCTAAATTTTCAAGTATAACATTTATTTATAAATTTCAATAGTTCATTGTATTACCGTTCAAGAAAATAAAATAACAATATATTGATTATAATTTATTTCTTTTTCAAGATTATGCTCATCCACCACTGTAAACAAAGAATAAATTTATACCTTTAAGTATTTCTCAAGAAAATAGTTATCGATCTGTTCGAGCCCTTGATCAAATCCTTGTTCACTTTAGATGTCACCTCTTCTTTATACTAATAAGTGATGTCAAGTCGAAACAAAAGATTCAGTATTTCAGAGCTTTCAGATTTAAAAGGCCATTTATCCTTTCGTTATCTTTTAGTCCCATTACAGAAACCATAATTCATCTTTATTTGTCGTCCCCCTTCAGTTGATTCGCGATATTATTCAAATGCAACTTTTCTATAAATAGAAGTGTTTTATTTGTATTTCGGTTTGTTATTTATATATTCTGCTAATTTATTTTACTTATTTGTATCGAAGTCAACTTGAAATTTATGAAATCCTAACGCCTGAACATCCTACTCCTAGTTCGCTCACTATTCGAGACGCTATTGAATTTTTTACTGCTGCTTAAAATCCATAACTCAAACTACAATCGAAAATAGTTGGTATCGTGCAGGCATGCTTTCTTCTCCTGAGATTTTTGAGGAAAATTATGAACTAGCAACCGGTACTAATATTTGCTAAAGTGTAAGCAAACTTGAAAGCGAACTTATATACAGTATTTCCCGAATGCCACAGATTTCTGTTCTCTTAACTGCAATAGAATCTTTCAAATTGTCATAAGTGAGGAACAAATAACGGATGAGGAAATTATCAAATTTGTAACTGGTGAAAGGCTCAAGAGCCTGAAGAATCGGAATCACCAGTAAAAGTAATAGTTTCTTTGTAGGGAGATAGAATATTTGCAACCAGATGATATCGTAGGAATTGATTTTGAAGTCATGAAATGTTTAAATATTTTAAAACATCAAACTATATTGAAAGTAAATGGAAATTCTGAATACTTTTAAATGTGATATCCAGTGATCAAATTTTTATGAATACAAATTTTCAATCCACCTGGATAAGGTGAATTAACAGATATTATTTACATTCAAGACAGTTTGCTGGATACCAAGATACTGCGAACCAAAAAAAGTCAGTTTAAAACTGAAAAATTATCTTTAGTAAATGATATAGTCACTTTGAGTTACAGTACCTTAACATCCAACAAACGGTTTTGAATGCAAATAATATCATTTAACACTTTGTCCAGGTGGATCGAATGGTTGTGTTTTTGTTTGAAACAGATCACAGAAAATTGAGATAATGCATTCAAAGCAACTGTATCATTTTCTTAAAAAATATTTTTTTTGAGTCATGGTATCTTGTCATTCAGTTATATTTGAATCCGATCACTGGACGTTAAGATAAGTGCTCCAACCTGGTCGGATTGGGGTCAAACCCGACCCGGAATATTTCAAGTTGCCCAAAAAACGTTATTTCTCGTTCAATATTAATTGGGATTAAACAAAAATTTGTGGGTATATACACAGTTACATTCCGACAACTCTACTTAGACACAAAATACAAGTGTCTTAGTAAAAATAAAAGTTATCAACGAAAAACATTTACGATTTTCGGATCAAACCCGATCCGAATCCGACCCGACCCGAAATTATCAGTTCGAGTTGACCTCAAACCCGATCCGACCCGACCCGAACAGAGCTTTAGTTAAAATATCGCTTATAAAGTGACCATTTTATTTTAATATGCCTAATTGAATTCATGTTATTCTTGCTAATAATGACTGAACAAAGTATTATTCTATTATAGATGTAAAAAAATAGTCAATAAAGATAAATTCTAATTCATGAAATAATATTTTTTCAATTGACTTTGTATTATTTTACTTTATACATGTAAAGTTTTTGATCACCTATTATTAATATCTACAATTTTATTGGCTATAGATCACTTATTAATATTCTTATCATAATATTAGTATTATAATACTTCTTTTAAAAATACTATAAATATACCTCTTGTTTTTTCCTCTTAAAAATTATCTTAACATGTTTTCTTTAATTTATATTTTATTATTCTTTTCATTTAATTTTTATCAATATTCACAATAATTTTATCTAAATGAATCTCTTCATATATGAAAGAATCTTTTTTAATATTTTAAAAAATTTGTTTCTTTACAAATACAATAAAATAATAATATTCTTGATACTAAAAATCATGATCAAAAAAATAATAATTAGATTTTTGTTAATATTTTGAATTTGCAAATAATTTTCTTTTATAAAAAAATTGAAATCAAATCTCAATCATTATTATTATTAATTAAAAATATTAATTATTTAGAAATTCTCAAAATTAATTATATATTGATTATCTCTAAATTAATATTACTAGTTAAATTAAATATTACTAAATTAGAAATAGTAAAACTAATTAGATTTATAAATATAGTATTAATAGTAAAAATTATTAAAAAACAATAATTTAATGTTAAAAATAATTTTAAAAGTTAAAATAAACTATTTATTAAAATACTAAACAAAAACTTAATAAACAATCTTATTTAATATGAATAATCTTATTTAATTATTCAAAAATTTTTAAAACTAAAGAGAAAATTCTGTAATTAATATATAATTTAACAGTTGATAAAATATATTAACTATATTATTACAAAATTAAATAATATTCAAGAAATATTCAGTATTAAATTTTGTGAAACAAAATCTTCTAAAGAAGAAATAAATATTATAGTAATAATAATAATTTATAATTCAAGAAAAATTACAATTTCTAAAAATAATTAAAAAATCAAAAATTTTTAAAAATAGTAAAATATAAAAAATAGCAAAAATAATTAATTTGATATTATATTTCATTATTTATTTCAT